TGGGTGGGTGGGTGGGTGGGTGCGCGTGCGTGTGCGTGCACGTGCGCGTGCGCAAATACCATTACATCTACACTCGCTTGCCGAGGTTACGAGGGATGGAGTTCGCTGAAGGTGCCATTCGCGATGCAAGATGATGAATGGTTCTTCTCATCATTGTCGCAGTCAAGCTGTGGCGCCGCTGGCCTTCATCCTCGTCTTCCTTCTTTGACAATGCCAGCAGGTGGTAGGGCCGGTAGGGTGTGTTAAAGGCAGCATTCCCCAAGAGCTGGGCAGGCACAGAGCTGATTTTCGCTCTCGTCCTCTCTGTGGGCGCACAAGCGTCTAGCCAGGAACAGCTGTCTTTTCCCGCAGATTCTGCGTTCGCGCGCGCGCGTGCTCGGGACTGTTTCCAGCTGTTGTCGTTCCGTCGTCGTTCGTGCTGCTGGGCTGGATGGTTTAGCCTCGTCCTGCAGGGCCGTCCCTTTCTGAAGCCAGGCTCGTGCCCCGGTCGATGCTGACAACTGATCCCAGACTGCTGGGCTGCAGCTGCGACCAGCAGCAAGAATGCCTGGTCCTTCAATGCCTGCTGTGATTCAGTTTCTTCTTCCCGCGACACACTGCAGCCGGAATGTGCGGGTCCACTTTTCGGTATTCTGCGACAAGCTCTCAACTGCAATGAAGTTTGACAAACCTCAGCAGCCTCACATGTAAAGACCTGTCGCACTTCCGGAATCAAGCTAGGCGAACCGATGTGGACCCGTCGAAGGACTGGACGCCGTTGGCACGCACCCTGAGCGGTGGAAATGCGGAAGACTCTCCAGCATGTCCAATGCCTGAATCCCAAGTTTCCATCAAGTACAAATCAGGACATATGTGGGGAGTGCCCTTCATGGTCAGTGTACACTCTGAGTAGCGCCCCATCTGCACCATCGCCGGTATCCTTTGCACGGTCTGCTTGAGGGTTGAAAATGAAGGACGGCAGACTAGCGACACATCCTCATGCTCTTTTACAGGTGCTGTGTCACTGGCCCAGTTACTGTGCTGTGCCAGGTGACGAGCGACCGCTAGAATATGCTCTGAACAGAGTCCTGCGTTTACACATCCAAACGAATTATAACCTCATGCAAAAAAATGTGTGCAACTCCTATGGATTTGACTCTACACACCACTCACTGCTCGTGTTCTGACAAGACGATGGATCGAGCTCGTGAGCCAAGATTCAGATCCCAAACCAAAGCGCCCTCAACGACCCGTCCTGCTCCGCAAACCCAGTCTGCGGAGCTTGGCTCAACTCCAACAACCTGTCACAGGGTCGCGCGCATCGACCCGGCCGGCTTTGAAGCCCTTGCACAGCTCAATGCACACGCTGTCATTAGGACCTCGCTTCGTATCGCAGCCACTTGCCGAGACGCATTATGAGACTTCGAAGAAGGCGGGCACTCTTTGCAAAACTCAGAGCATTCCTGCCTGAATCCTGAACAGCGACATCTCGGCTCAAAATACCGGACCGACACCTTGTCCGGAGTTCCTCTGAGATGTTCTGCAGCTGTATGGCTAGCCTGGCGCGCAGCTTGGCGAGGGATCTGCGGCCAACGACTGTCAAGGCCGCCATCCAAGGACGCAGCCGGGACAAGCGCCAAGGTCCCGGAGGCGCGGAACCCAAGCGAAGACTTTCCCACTAAGCACACGGCCTGCGAATCGACCATCCCGCAGGTTTGACGAAGAGCGGGGCCTCTGCCAAGATCTCGCCGCCTTTCGGTGCACGTTGCAAGACTTTGCAACAAGTCTTCCTCTCGCCAAGTCCGGAGCGGAGCGAGGCCAGCCTGCTGGGATTGCGCGTGTGGTGGCCAAGCCTTTACCTCGTCCCGGGCTGTCGATCACCTGGCCCGGCATGCCTTTTTGAATTCTAGATTCTAGATGCCAGCCGACAGGCATGCAGGCACACCGTGTAACGAAGCAAGTTCAGATTTCTTGAAGATTCTTGTCCGGAAGAAGCCTGCCCCGGCCCGGCCCCTGCGCCTCGACTCCCCAGAAGTCCGAACCAGCGGGCACCAGCAGAACGTGAAGCGCAGTCTGAAGCCAAGAGCGAGTTGGGTCTAAGAGTCTAGGAGCAGAGGCCTGAAGCCTTGAAGGTTAATCCGGCACATGAGCACCAGAAAGATGCCGCATGCTGCGGCCGAACTTGTGGAACTACGCAGCGGTAACTGATTCGTTGCTTTGCAGTGTCAGAGTCCCAACTGGTTTAGGTGATTCTTTGGCGGATGCGCTTGCGTGTGCACTAACCACATCTGTCTCCAACCATCCCAACCATGTTGACAAATTTCGAACATGTCTGTCCTGAACCAAGCGGAAAGTGTTGACTGGCTTGTGCTGGTTCATTCCTCATCCTGCGCGCATCCTCCTTCAACACCGTACAGTACGCCAGCTCGTTTATGATCGTCAAGCTATCACCCGAGTTGTGCGGACCCTGTGTCTTCATCATGGAGCAAGTTGCTGGCAACTTGGGTGTCAATACGGATTATGACTATATGAAGGCATTCTCTGCCCACACAGAACCCGTCAGAGTTATTGCTCGAATTTCGGCACCTTGGCTCTTGTCAACGGAGGCCGCAGAAAGCGGCATGCGGCCAAGGTCAGTGCAAGAAGGCGCCGCACCTGCAATTGTGGGCTGGGCGCCTTAGGATACTAATGGCGTCGGTGTATGGGGATTGAAGATAGTACATGTCGTATTATTCTGCAGAGTGTGAGTAGCGTATGCGTCTCTTGCTCCGCGGCTCGGACTCTGTGCTGACAGGCCTTTCTCGCTTCCTACCAATTGGATTCCTGCAGGCCTCAACCGGAACACCAGCAACCGAAAACCATCTCTGACTGTGCAGGATCCGATCTTCGATAGGCTGCCCTCACTCTGCCTGTTCTGGCCTTCCTGCTGCAGAGTCGAGGCAGCAGAAACTCGAGAACTCAAGGATCGAAGAGTGTCCCCATTTCCAGCATAGCTTGGCTATACTGGAAGCCCCCAAATCCCAGTTGCCGCCTCAAATTTGTCCCGCGCGTTGCGACGTCCGTGACTAGGTCCAGGTGCGCGGGGACTGGAAAGTGTCACCAGCGGATTCGGCGCAGTCTTTCCGAGTGCGAGCATGTCAGCAGCACGCTACATTCTCGATGCCTTCTCAAGCCCTTCAACCTACTCTTACCGGCGCGTGCCACTCAATTGGTGAGGTGCTTAGAACAGTCCAGAAGAGTGGAAGTATTATAGTCGTCATGTCGCCAATATGGACGCTTGATGAAGATGATGTTGCTCTGGTGATTTCTGCCATCGGCTCGAGCCATGGAACGGAGCGTGCAACCTACATGTGAGCTGTGCAAGTCGCGAGAGCCCACGGTTAGTCGTGAGCCTCTTAGATAAGAAACAGATCCAGAGTACAAGGCCGCATTGAAGAGTCACTATATGGCAAGAATTCGCTGCCGCATGCCTGCCTTGCTCTCGCTATAATTTGTGGCTGAGTATTGCAGCGGTGTCTTGACTTGACATCCCCCTACTTGCAGGAGCTATCATCTGCTCACGCTTCACTCAACGATGCCCACACTTGCTTTTCTTAATTGTCCAAGATCACGACAGCCCGAAGATGAGCACGTAGGTGACGTAGGACATCACAGGGATGTATAGATCTGGCCTCAACAACTTGAATGATGTAGACGCTTCAAGCCCATTGTCCGTCTTGTGGGACTGCTGAAGTGATACTTGTTCCTCCGCTTTGAGAGCTCGCGACTCGGAACATCGCTAGAAGACCGAGTGCAGAGCTGATCCACATCTACCTTCCCAGCGTGCAGGTGTTGGGGGCAGGAGGCTCCAGCGTTGCAGCGTTCAAGCATGCGAGGGTGGAAGGCTTGGGATCCCCTAGCAAGACACAGCTCTGGACGGCACGACGACGGAAACTGAACTGTGGAGCGACTTCTGCCAACTTCCCACTTCGTTGTCTATCCAGACAGCTCTTCGAGCCATCGTTTTCCAACTCCATTGCCCTGAGCTTGTGAAACCGAAGAACAGTGTTTCAACCACCCGGAACTTTCGCTTCTGGAACCTTCAAGCCGTCGGGACCAACTCCGCGCTGGGGAGTACTGAGGTCACCAGGCGAGTTGTCCTCCTTGGTCGACGGGGGAAGCAGTTTGACAACCCCCTAAAAAGCAAACCCTCCCGCCTAGAGAGTTTCCGGACAAGCGTCTGGGCTTAAGAACTGAACGAGTTTACGAGCTGGGCTGATAAAAAGATGCAGAAAGCCGGGGTCCTCTGGTCTACTCCAACAAAGTCTGGCAATGCTCTCAAGGACGGGCATGTGCCCACCGGGCTCATTGAATGCAACACTTCGACAACATGGTTTGGGCCCAAACCCCCGGAGGTAAGCTGGGCACGTCGTCGGCATGCTCTTTGCCATGCCATCTCGTCGTGGGCTCATTCTGGTATATAAAGTGTACCGAGTGAAAAGGTGGTGCGTAACAGCTCGCACTTTTGCATGGGCCTCTCTGCAGCCTGAAGCAGCAGAGCCGACGTGACGACAGGATTCCAGCAAAGCCGAAACAAGCTAACACAACTGTGCACCGGGAATCCGGGAAAGGGAGGAGAGAAAACATGACAACATGGCTGGGCCCTTCTTTGAGCTAAGGCTAGGTCCCACATGGGCGTGTGCTGCGCCTGCAGGGCAGATTTCCAGTCCCAGCCGATCATGGCAGCACCGAAGCCGGACCTGCTGCATCTTGAGGAAAGGGCACATGAGCACCACCAGCTTCCTGAGAACGTAGGAATGGCCTGCGGCTCCGGCAGACTTCGGCTCGAACGGGACTCTACGGAGCCAGACGAAGCCCCATAGAACGCGTCCAGCACCTCACAAACACCCGAGCCCAAAGGCCAGATAGACCCCAACCCAGCCACGGCTCAGTGTTTGGGTGGAAGAAGGCCCGCTCCTACGTTGAAGAGCTGCTGCAGGCTCAGGAAAAGAAACGGAAACCAGCGCATGGCCTTGGCCGTTCATCGTTCTGTTGCGTGCCCACCGGCTCGGGTCCACAGCTCCGTCGGAGTCGTTTCGATGTCTGATTCGGGACATGACGTTTAGGACCTTTGCCACATGGCTGCCCAGTCAAACCTTCCAATTTCACAACAGCTTACATGAGTCAGGGCACCCTGGTCTAGCTATGCTGAGAACAAGGTCTGTCTATCTGCCGTGTGCCGCTTCACTTTCGCAAGGGCAAGAGGTGGAGGAGCGACCACTCTCTCTCACACACACAGAAACCTGCATGCGCAAACAAGAACACGCAGCGATGCCCTCGATCGGTTTCGTGCCCCCCTGACCCTCCGAGCAACCGGGCACCACTATTCTGCATTTGTGACATGGCCTCGGCTGTCAGGGTCTGGGCTCGACTGTTGCAAAGTACATTCTCGACGCCTTGAACACTTGCGCCCTTCTTCCAGGATGTGCAATTGATAACCCGAGTGCCGAAAACTTTGAATCGGCGCATGCTGAGACGGTAGGCTTTAGGTACAGTATCTGAACTACTAACACTGATGCTAGACATCTGCGCCCTGACTCTCCGAGCGTCTCCAAGCGAAACCCAAACTTAGAATGAAAGCCGAGGAGACTTCTGCTAAAACAGGCTTAGCCAAGCGCTTGTCTCATCGCAGCATCCGCTAAAGCCTCTGCTGCAGAAGCAGAAGGAGTTGTGTTGTGGTGTGAAGGCACTTCAAGTGTACGACAAAGTCTTGCAAAGAGTCATCTCTCCCTGCGCTTGCATTTTTTGGCCTCATTGATGCCCATGCTTCCCATGGCCTCGGAACAACCCACTAGGGAAAGGAGAAAGACAGAGTCAGCACGCTGTGTGACGATTTTCTGTGTCCTGCAGCCCCGCCGGCCAGGCTGCCGTATCCCACAGCCACGAAATGCGCAGACTCGAGATGACTCTTTCTACCTTTTCAAGCTCTTAGCGTGCATCGCTCTGAGAGTGTGGCGGCCGCACTGGCTCCCACGAAGGAGTTTGGATTCGCACTCGAAGCGCCCATCTGAACCGAAGCACAGCTGGTCGTTCAAGTTAAGAGTGTACTATACCATACTATACTCTGAGATATTTTAGTATAACATGATTACTCTGGTATACTATGACTATGATCTACTAGGCTGTTGTTCAGTGCTCAGGACGCTGTGGTGTCGCATGCGTGCACAAGTGACGAACGTTGGCAGGACCAAATCGCACGGCAGTGAGGGCCCTATTTTGATGGTCGCAGTGGCATCGCACCGGCAAAGCCGACAGCAACCAAGGGCCCGTCCACGCATGCTGCTTTGCGGGAAACTAGCATGCTGCCCTCATGAGATCATGGCTCCCTGAGGCTCCTGGCCGCTCCGGGTCCCGCAGAGAAGGCATTGGAGCTCGGGCCCCCCACTCCCATCTGCAAAGCAGCTCTTCTGCTGGTTCGGTAAGTTTGGGCATGAACAGCTGGAAATAATCGTCGTGGAAGGTGCCAACTTTTGGAAAGATCACTGCTGTGGGCGTCGGAAGCCGTGCAGGAGCTGGGATCAGGACGGCTTGGCAGGCTTGCTCATGCAACCAGTCGAACGTACAGTACTTGCGCCTACCGTCGTAGCATACTACGGCCAACCATGGCCCCCACGACCCCCTCTGAAGCCCTGCGCTCAGCCTGACCCTGCATTGCTTGGCCCTGCATCGGCTGGCCCTGCGTGGGCTGCATGGGCTGGCCCTGCATGGGCTGGCCCTGCATGGGCTGGCCCTGCATCGGCTGGCTGTGCATGGGCTGGCCCACTCCATGCCTCTGCCTCACAGCCAGAACCGGAGCTTGCCTACACATTGCAGGGCCTACGAAAATGAGCATGGAGCTTGGCGGCTGAACATCCCGAACATCCCGAAATAATTCGATCCCAATTTTCAGCCTTTCGGCAGGATGTTAAAGTGCTCAACTGATTTCTGGGTTGGACTCTCCCTTCATGTCGAGATGCTGCAGCTTCATCGGCTACCTGATGCGCGGCGAGGTCGTTTCTGGATTGAAGTTCATGCCAACTGGGTCACTGCAATCCCCTCAACGTTCGGAAATCATTACAAGTAGCCAGATGAATTAATGACTGCAGAAGTACATTGGCCATGACCGACACAAAATCAAGCGTCTACGCAGACATATGTTCGGCTGCTGCTTCACTACAGGTAGTTAAGCTGTTCGCCAGCGCTAAATAGCGACACAGGTTTTTAAAAGCTACTTGTGGCGGTCGCAGGTGCAAGTTGGCGTGCAATCGAAAGTATCAGAAAGGCCAAGCCCACAACTAATCGGCCCTACAATCCTCCCAGTTAAGCTTCGTGCGCAGGCCTACCAGCTGCTCCCTTGCACCAAACTGCCGGCCTCAAGGATCTCCTTCCCACTCGCCAACACTGCCAGTGTGAGGCTTGGCCCGGGCCTGTGCCGGCTTGCAGTCTGCTTACCGTCACTACCAGGGACCATGACATCGCAACTCGGTCGCATAGAGTCAGTGGACGGCCATTAGTAAAGATGTCTATCCGCCATGTGCGCAGCACTTGTTCGCAAGATTCAGCCCACGTCGCTCACGCGCACAGAACCAGCAAGACAAAGACTTTTTGCAAGCCAATGACGAGAATCTGAAGGCCCGGTCAGGGAAGCCGTAGGCCCCACGACTTCCCAAGCCCAAACCCTCCACCAAGCCTGCACCCAGGACGGCCGGCAGTGTGTGCGCGCAGGGCACCAAGCGAAGCTGAGCCACAGAAGCGGCGAGGAGCGAGAGACCTCTATATCTTCGGGAGCAAAGCCTTGCCTTGCTCCTTTTAACCTACACCGCTAAGAAGTCTGAACCAGTTCCCATCACACGTGGGCACAGTGGACACAATCTGTGCTTGTGACGATACAAGGAGATGTTGGTCGACTGAAGGATTGCATGCGTAGAGTAGAAGTTCTAGTAGAAGTATCTGACAACGTGACGCCATCCGAAAGCTCACTCATCAATCTTCCGAGTGCGAGGCGGGCTTCAGGCAAGTAATATCCTGGATCGGAAAGCGCAAGGCTAAGCCCTCAAGAGTTCGTTCAGAGTTTTCCGCATGCACGAATCGATTCGTTCCATGCAAGTAAATTCCAGT